CACAACAAGTAGTTGTATAGTAATACTACGAAGGGATAGTAGGATTACGAAGAGAAGTGTTTGGGAGGGGCACCTCTCATTTTCAGCATAGACGCTAGACAGAGGAGAAAAATGGTGGCTGCTTTCAGACTTCAACGATTCAACCGCCGGCGTCCGTCCGTCCGTATGCGGCGTGCATGCAAGTGATGGCGCTGCTAGGCACTTGTTGACAACACTGGACGCCGATGAATGATCACGTGCCAGTGTTGTCAACAAGTGGCTAGCGCCGCCGTCGCTCGCACGCACGCGACGACGGAGGGACGCCCGTCGGTTGAATCGTTGAAGTCTGAAAGCAGCCGGTAGCCAGCTCTGCAAGTCTGTAATGAGGCACGGAAACGTTTTTAGCCAAGGGAATATAATTTCTAAAACAAGTTTCAGGAGGTGAGGAACACTGGGACGGGTGAGATGGTTACCTTTCGCAAAAAGCTGGGATGTGGGAAGAATTGAACATTATGTTGACCACTGATTAATTCCCTTTAGAAAGCTTAATCGCTAGCGTGCTAACATACCAGGCCTGCTTAGAGGACGTAATTACAGGCCTGGCCACCCCTCGTTCCCTTCACTGTATTGCCTAGTGTGGGAGAAGAGGATTGCCCCTCCCATTCCCTAACCCAAACCACTTTGAAACTATCAGAACTCACCAGGTATCAGATACCGAAATTTGCACAATAGCTCTGCGATGCAATCTCTTAGCAGAGCCATAAGTGGCAGCTCTCCTAAAGTTCAAACTTTTCTACCTGAAAGTAACGATTCCTAATACCAGCTAGGTCCTAGAACTCACCACATTAAACCAAATTTCGCATTACGACCAGTCAATAGTTCTACTGAGTAGAACATTTGAACCTAAAAAGGAATTTTGATTAGTAGTAATCATAAAAGTAAAGGCAAGCACAGTCCCAACCTAGAAATTATGGAAAAGGAGAAGCATAGCCGAAGCTTTGATGAGGACGCCGGCGTCAGCCATTCCTTGCCATAAGCGAAGGTCCTGGACGGATAGTGATTCGCGTGTCAGGACCATGCGTTTCATAAACCACCTAATATGTGCCGCAGAGCTCAACATGGCGCTTGTAAATCAACTTGGTTAAATAGAAGAAATAGTTTAAAGATGTACTACGACGGATTGTATTGAAAAGCTTCAATAGCCGTGAGAATCTGCCATTGCAAGTGGGTGATCAATGGATATTTGGCCTTCAGAAAGACCCTTTCTTCACTGGTCCTTTGCTTTGGAATTCTTTGGTGATTTTTATCGAATATTATTCAAAATAGGGGACACCAGACAACTTCTTGTCACTAAGTTGATGATTCCTCTCTCTCTCTTCAGCTGCATTGGAAGGAATTGATTTGTCTGGAAGCCTACCTTTCTTTGGTCACAAAGCGTTCAAATTTCGAGACACCTCAGGTGCTGGAATTGAATCTAAGATGCGGTCGATCGATATCGATCTGTGTCCTTGTGTGTACATACTCCCTTTAGTATAATATTATAATCCAAATCAGTAGAATGTAATAGTTGAGAAAGAAATTCGAAATTAGAGGCATGACGTCGATCGCTATCGCCAAGTTATCAGTTTCTCATAAGAGGAGCGAAAGGGATGTTTGATCGAGTCATTTCATCAGGAGTTCCCTGAATGCAGAAATTCCAAAGTTATAGTCTGTCAATCGATTCTCTATTATTTCAAGATTTTTGTTAATGCAGTGTGTTCTAGTGGAGAGTGGCGTACTGTCATACATGCATGGTCACGGGTTTGGATCCCGGATCGATATCCACGTGCGCCAACCAAGCCTTCGATCCTTTCGGGAACGGTTAACCCTTTGACGACAATGGGACCCTCCGGTGGGTGCCACTACGACTAGCGCATGGGATATTGGCACCCAATTTTGGGTGCCGCCATATTTTCTCCTTTCTTACCAATTGCTAAATTCAGTAAGCCAGTGAAAGAATTTTCTTTTGGGACAGTGTCACCCACCAGTGGGTGCCATCGCGCGCGAAAAGAGGGGAGCGTGGTTTAATTGGTACCAGACTCGTCTGGGAGGATAAAAGCACTGACTCGTACATCGTCTGGTCACCGCACGTCGTTGTAAGGCCACATACGCATTCATTACGCCACT